AAGGGATGGCTGCGGCAGCGGGGCCAGGGTTTTCAGGGTTATTAAAAAAAGAGGTTCTTGCCCATCATCCCATTTGGAAAATCTTTTTTTGTTAATAATAATAATAATAATAATAATAATAGATGAACTTTGGCAACCAAATTGAACTTTGGCAACCAAATTACTCAAGAAGAGGTGAGAAGTCTGACTCTCACTAATGCTCCAGGAAATGCAGCCAGAAAACAGGCGAGGAAGCATTTCTGCCTGAGGCTGGGTGTGCTGGATAGAGGCACGTGGGGAAAAAACACAACTAAGGAGCACCATCCAAAACTAAACCACCGACTGCACCACCTCCAAAGCCAGCTGCTGCCCTTCCTCCAGCTCAGATCAAGCCCTCAGCAAGACGAGGGTGTCACCGTGCCATGTGCCGCTCCATCCTGGGAGATGGCATCTATTGCAGGGGCCTCTGGGTTGCAGCACCGGCAGATGAAGGTGGGGAGGAGGAGGTGCCAGCCCCCATTTGAAGAAGCTGTGCTGAAGCCATGGAGGCAGGAGGACGCAGGTATGGTGGTCCGGAACCTTCTCCCCCGGCTCTCTCCTCACCAGGAGCCACCTTCACCGGCACGTCCCGGAGTGGGAGCTGCCCCTGGCCCTGCCACCTCCACCTTGCAGCCATCCCCAGAGAAAGCCGAGCTCTGCCCCATCCGCCCAGGAAGAGAAATTATAAACCGGGAAGAAACAGCCAATGTTTCTCCTGCCCTGCCATGCTCGGGGAGGAAGGCTGCAGGGACAGGACAGTGACTCCTTTCCCTGCCCAGCCATCCCAGGGATGCTCCTCCAGGTACCCCAGCCATCCCCAGGAGAAACCAGCCCAGAGCTCCCCACTGCCACATGCCACACAAACCCGACCTCCCGGCAGTGGGATGCTGCCGTCGGCATTTCCAGGCGGTACGACGACATGATTGGAAACAGCGCAAAGAAACTGTCCCTGGCCTTCGCTTGGGGGAATAAGGTTGAGCTGTCCATCCCAACCCCGCTTGTGCTGAGAGCACGCGATGGCCCAGCTGCTGGAGCAGGCTGCTGCCAGCAGAGCGAGGCCCCTTGCACTTGCCTCGTGTCCGGCAGCCCCCTGGGGCTGGGAAGGGAGGGAAAGGGAAGGGAAAACTCTACTACCTCCCCCCGTGACAGCCCACAGGCACAGCTGCCCCGAGCAGCCCCTCGAGGGGTCCCTTCCCAGCAGCGCTGCCAGGCCAGCTTATCCCATCCCAACCCCTTCAATTCGGAGGCAGCAGAGATTATGCCAGATCACCGGTGACTGCATCAGAGCCGCCCGGATCTCCTTCCTCCCATCGCAGCCTGTGTCACCAGTACCCCCGACCGGACCACCCTGGCCTCGACACGCGGGAAGAGGGAGAGCGCAGGAGCATCCCCACCTCTGCCTTTAGCCCCCCAGCACGGAAGGACCTGGATGTTTTGAACTGTTGGAAGATTTAAAAAAACCTTGCACCTTCCTGCCCTCCCATAGAGCAGGCAGGAGCACGGCGAGGCCGCACCGTCCTCGGCTGACGGCAGGCTGCCTGCCCGGCGTCTGCCCCCCCCCCGCGGCAGAGCAGA